CCAGAGGTTGTTTCAGGGTTTGATCTGTGAGTTAGCCATGCCCTGACTTAGATCAGCCCAGAGGCTGTTTCAGGGTTTGATCTGTGAGTTAGCCATGCCCTGACTTAGATCAGCCCAGGGGTTGTTTCAAGGTTCAATCTGTGCGTTAGCCATGCCCTGACTTAGATCAGCCCATGGGTTGTTTCAGGGTTTGATAATATTTGAATTTTCATTATTATCTAATAATGATTTTCAAGATTATTTAATAATCTTTTGCCAGAAAATTTTGAGATGAATGAAGATGAAGAGATAACACTGAAAGGATTTCTGGATTTGAACCTGATGGAGGCTAAAGATGCTGATGGGGATCCTGATGACTTGTGGGTTACAATGGGTAGTATGGGGTACAACAAGGCTCTTGAACTAGACCAGGTATGAATATGTACTATATGAATAATAAATTGATGTCATCTAGAAAGAATGAACAGAATAAAGGATGAATGGATGTAAGGATAGATAGATGAAAGGATGAGAGAATTAATAAATGAAATGGATGAATGATAAAGTGAACAAATAAATATTGATAGATCGGTGGATTTATAAAGGGTTGAATAGAATATGAGTGAGGATGGATGGATGGAGGGAGGGAGGGACAGACGGACGGACGGGAAAAAAAAACATTCATTGGGTTTCAGAGGTTATTTTCTCAGGTTAATGGATAATTGGGATGAAGGTATGGATGGGTGAGGGAAAGAGGAAGGATTGCATAATTGTTTTTGCTGAAAAGCTCAACTGGAAGGATTAGCCTGAAGAAAAAAACAAGATTGAAACATCCCTTTTTATTCCTTCTCAGGCTTGTTCATTCTACCTGGACATATTTGTGAAGAATTGTTCACCAAAGCTGACAGTTCTTGGTGTTGAAAGCTGCAAAGAAGAGTTAACCAAAGCTTTGATCAGCTCCATCATCAAGAGTGGTGGCAAGAAAGAAAGCATCAAAGGCATGAGGGATCTTGTTCTTTACAAGTATGAAAGTCCTGAAAGATGTACCATTCTGATCGATAATCAGGTATGCAAATCACTCTTGTAGCATGCCTTGATGAACTAGGGGGAGGTTAGGCTTTGATTTCCAGTCTTAGGGGTTTCATGTGCCTGCAATACTCTCCCAAAGGAGAGTATCACAGGTACACAAAATGCCTACRATTGAAAATCTATGCCTAGGTGGAGGCAGAAAAAGAAACTTAGATATAAAAGGGCGGTTCTCCTAATTTCTAGCCCAAACTTGGTGTCATATTAGTAGAGTTGCTTGTTGGTTCTCTTCTGTGCTTCAAGGGTTTCACCATCACCAGGTTATGTGGGAGTGCAATAGATAAATCCCATTGGCATTAAATCATGGAACAAAATCTTATGAAAATGATGACCTTATGAAGCTCATTACCAGCCTTCAGTGAAGGAAAACACTGCCCTCCTGCTTTATCACCCTTGTACATTTTTGGTTTATTAAAAACATGCCCATCAGCTGGTACAAAGTCCAAAGGAGACCCATAATGATGTCTGTTTGATTTTATATGCTTGCGTTTTACCAAATTATTATTTTTTGAATTTCATTACCACTAGTCACATTCCGATGTTACCCTTCGTGTTGACTGCAAAAGAAGTCAAAATTGTGTGAGCCATAAAGGAGAACTGGATCATGTGTTAGAGGTGGCGGCAGGAAAAACTGAGGTACAAACACAAATAAAAACAATGTAATATTTAATGGCATATTTAGTGATTTAAACTAGCTAGGGGTGTTAGATGACAATAATAAAGCATTTCTCATTAGCTTCTCGTTAGATCAACCAACATAACAGCTGTTCTATCGTTATTTGTATCTCATGGGGTTTTGAGTCATGAGGTTGCACCCTTTGAATTGAGCTTAGAGGATTTGCACAATCAAACAAGGAGTCATATTGGATGGAGTGACAACTTCTAGTTACGCAAAGCYGTGATTGGATAAAAGAAAAAGAAAGGAAAAAATGCAATTCTTTTTCTATATTTTGTGTTCTTTTGTTATTGTTTTCCATTTGAATTGGTTTACAATTACAATTCGATAGCAGAAGCAACAAATTATGTACAAAAAGACTTAAAATTCGTAGGCAAAAGATATTCTGTTGTTGCGCTGTCCAGTATGGCTAACGAACTTGTAAAACATTATTGCTGGTTTGTGGTCATTCCTTAGAGTATATGTTACAAAACAATATAACCATATTAGTTAATAAAACAATCATAGAACTCATAAAAAGTTCTAGCTAAGTTCAATCAAAATGCTGGCTATAAAAAACAGTAATAGAGCACTTTCTCAAGGATGTGTGYGCATCATTGACGGGCCACAAAACCCAGTAAAATTGAGAAGTCATATTCAAAGAGGAGAATAATCAATTTTATGAATTCTTATMAAAAAAAATTTCATAGCAATGCATGATAATACTTGTGTTCTGGTATCRCRGCCCTCCAAGTTCCTTAAGTTTGGATGCACAMGCAACCTTGAGAAAACAGTCTATAAAGACACTTCTAATTTGAATAATTAATCTAAAGAAAAATTTTGATTTGCTTATCCAGTTATACAAGTTTAATACATTGAAAATGGTTTTAAAAATCTGTCTTTTYTTTAAGGTGGCTCACCATATCTTACCAGAAGACAACAGAAAGCAGTGGAGTGTTAAACATCATGTGACTATAGAAAAATAACTTGAACTGAAACATACAGTATAACAAGACTTATAACAAGACTTTGTGTGACATAATTCTTTCATTCATGTGCTAACCATAATTGGATTGGCTGGTAAAACGACTTATCCTAGTATAATGGACCCTTCTTATAACKGTATTGAATGCAAGGMTWACATGAAAATACAAAAGAAATGCCACMAAYTCCATCAAGAAAAAAGTCTRATTTMWTTTGTRTTTCAAGTGAGCCTCCCATCCAAGATAATAATTTTGAGAAAGGCCCATTGCTCTATTTCACTATGGCGTCACTGCATCGCATCACTGTTATCTGGGCCATAAATACAAGCTATAAAATAATGCAAATCACCTAAAGCYATTTGTATCCATCATTGGATGTTAGGGATTAAAGATAGGATTTAGTTCTATTGTATCCATTTAAAACACTTTTTTTTGCTGACCAAAAACAAATTTTACACTTTGGCCCAAATTCTTTCTCAGCAGACCTTGCTAGCAAAAGTACTAAATTCACATACCTAATCTAATCAGATGTCCTTAATCTAGAGGCAAATTTTCCTGTGCTGAGTTTGTTCCAGGTTCTTGCTCTCCTGAACTAGTTTCGTGTACCTCTTCCTCTTCTTCTGTTGTCCATTCATCATCATCACCAGCCGCATCATCATCACCAGCCGCATCATCATCACCAGCTGCATCATCATCACCAGCCGCATCATCATCAGCATCAGCATCAACTTCAACTTGAACCTGAACTGGTGGTAAATTTTCCAGCAGTCCTTCTATTTTCTCACGGCTTGTGTTGTACGAGTCACAGTGTTGGCATTTGTGTCCAAGCACGTGAAATTTAACTTTGCTATCCTGTTGGGTGTAAGTTAGACACTGTGTGAACAACATGGCTTAAAATTATTAGTTACTTATTGGATACAGATAGAAGAAAGTCTGTAGGCCTTTTAAGCTTGGGTGAAAAGTTTTTCTTGTACTAACTGTATTAAATACAGCTCCAAAATCAGTGTCAGTAGGGGTTGTTGCTAGATTGACAGTATATTGTCAGTAATATGTTGGCAGATTCACAGTAAGTTCCCATTTCGGAYCATGTTTCATTTCCTTGAGAATAAGATTCTTCATTGGACATGATACTCTAGAGAATGACACATGGTATGAAATGGGAAAACCTTTCAAAACAGGTTGATCCTTTTCCCAGTGTGATATCATTATCGATTGAAGTCTAATACAGTGCTAATATACCTGACATAGTTTATTTAATATATTCCTATTTATTAAGACGGTAAACAATCATACCAAATTATCAATTAAAATCTAAATACCTTTTGACAGTCTCTGCACTTGATCTATTGAAAGATGAGAAAACAAACTTATTTAATATACTGTTTGATTTTAACTAATGATTTTTGGCCTTAAATTATTTGTGACTTATTGCATACTATCRATCACGTGACCCTTTGTTGACTGGGGGGCAAACAAGCGGTTGACTGAGGGGCAACCAGCAGATGTTAAGTCAAAACATATCAAAATAAGTCCTAAAAGTATTGTATTTGACTATTTCTATGACATGAAACTAGAAAACAAGAGATCAAAACAACCTCCAAGATTCTACAAGCCATTAAAAACCCATCTATTACCGGAAGTGACGTCTATTGATAGCAACCTATTTCTGGGTCCTTGAACTACTCACAAAAACCGCAAAAATAAATCAGAAAATGTTCTTAATGATTTAATTAATTCCACATGAAATAATTAAAACTTCAGACAAATCTTGACACGAAGAGATAGTAAGAGAAATTGGTAAAGGACTGGTTTTTTGTTTTGGACCTCGAAGTTGTTTTTCCTTACAATTGACGTCAAAGTATTAATAATACTACCACAGGTAGCCATGAATAATAGTTCCAAGCCAAGGATGGAGTTGCTGCATATTAAAAATATAGTTTTTCTATTGGTGGAACCTCCAGCTTCAACTTGGAACTATTTGTGGTCACTGAGTGGAACTGTAAAAAGGAGTTACTTATTATACCTCAACCATGACATTCTTGTACTCCTCAGGCATGGGTGTCTTACKGATTTCATTATCCAGTTGACTCCACATTTGCTTCATGTCCACAATAGATCTGTTGCATAATGGGCATGTATAGCTCCTAAAGTGAGACAACAATGTAAGGCGTTGTATGTATTACAGTGTAACTAACAGGGACCGAGGAGGCTGAAGAGACGAGGTTGGGGGGCTATAGCCCCCCCCCCCTTTTTCTCCTTTTCCCATACTAGTCACTTATATTTTCCAGCCTTACCCCTCCCCCCTTTTTTAGGTTTGTCCATGKTCCTTGTTAAAATATACACAAACAGGTCATTACTTAACAATTACTGGCCAAAGGCGAAGTGAATATTG